GGCTCCGTGATGAGAGGTCTCCTCGCCCTGCGCGGGGCCTCCGGGGAGCCTAGCGGGGCGCCCCGAGGCGCCTCCGTCCGGGCCAGGGACAAAGCGGGACAGACCGTCTTGTTTCCCTCTCCGTGGTTTGCAGCCTGCGGCCTGGGGCTGCCTGGTCCGGCCCCTCGCGGCTGCGCCCATGTGTTTGGCCGCTGCCCACCCTGTGTTGTGCCGAACTTTTCCCACTGGAGGGGGAGAAGGAAGGAGGGCTCCTTTGGGATCACCGTGCTGTTCTCCTGCTTGCCTGGATTCAGCCAGGCAGATGCCTAGTGTGAAACACCTACAGCACCGAAGCATAAAGCAGGCAAAACCCAAACAGCTCCTCTTGTCCCTGTGTGCCACCTTGCAGGCATTTTTCTGCTCTTTTGCTCTGGAACTTGGATGTCCTCCTTGTCTGTAAAGTCCTAGAATAGCTTGATTCCCTCTCCCAGGCCTGGTGTGAAGTCACAACTATATTTGTGGCTCTTAAAGAGTCAGTACTGACATTGATGTTGCAAACTTTCTTGGTAGTAGGAGCTGTGAGAATATTTGCTCTTCTGTGATGCATTTGGTGAATTGTGTGCCTAGTTTGTAGCTCGAGGTTCATTCTCACTTAGCAGCCTGTGAACCACAGTGAAGTCTGTTATTTCGGGTTGTATATGCATAAACACAGTGGGCTGCACATCCACCAGAGAGTTTACAGAGGGGCAAAAGCTGAAAAATCTAAAGCCCCCAGGGGAGCAGTGGAGAACAGAATCCCTGCCTCCCTGTGATGTGCTATTTCCAATAAAACAGTGACTTCTGGAAGTTTTCTTCTGTTTTTCTTCTTTCTTAGCCTTTTTTTCCCCTTCTTTATCTTTTTACATTCCAACTATTATTTTCTTTAATTCTCTATTTTCTCCGAAACTTTGGTCTTTGCTAAGCATTTTTCTTATCTGAAATCTTCATCCTAATAGCAAATTTAACTAATTCCAAGTGTAAAGGTATCTACCTGTTCCTGATTTGATCAGCTGCTCCTCTCCTCTCTCAGGCTTTTGTGGTTTGCTGTGAAAAACAGACCTTGGGTGTCTTTTGTAAGCCTAGACTATCTGTTCTTTGTTTGGTTAATTGATTCCTTTCCACTTCAGTGTGGCCAGTACTTAATTATATGCTAGTATTATGTTTCTTTTCCTACAAGCTTAATTGCCTCACACAGTAGAGCCATAGGGATGTGAAGACAGAACTAATTCTTGTCCTTAAGTTCTCCATCACAGTTGGGTTGTAGTCTCTATGAAATTCTGCAATTACTTGTTTTGCTTGCTGTCATGAAATAACTTTAAATACTCATAAAATCCTTTATATTTGCGTATTAGTTTTTGAAAAAATGTGTTTAAAATTTAAATAGTTGCATTTATATTCAAGGTATTACAGTATATTATGAAAAAAAAAACATTTAAAAATATTTATAAAATTTGACAGTCCACTTGAGTCTTTCTCCTATATATCTTCTTGTTTTAACGCACTATATTGGTTGACCTAGGAGAAAGATAATAACAATTATATCAGTGTTCCAGATCACTTTATCTAGAATTAGCCGCTTTGAATCATTAGTCTACTAAAAAGCCAGAAACCATGAAATACAGTATGTTATTGGAGCAGGATTTTTTCTCTTAGAATCATTATATCCTTACTGCCTTTTGATATTGTGCAATGACAAATTCTGTCCATAAGGGCAGCTACTTATGTTTCTGATATAGAGGACAGCTACAAATCTTGTTTAGTGTAGAAGCTATTTCATATTAAATGGTAAAGGAATGTGAGACTGCACAGCACTTTGCATTATTCATGAGAAGCCTGTTGCTGTCAGTTGTGTGTGGCTTGTCAAAATAGAAGCTTATAATTGAAACCTCAAGCTTCAAACCAGTACAGAAGGTAAGAGATTGCACCGTGGCGTTTATTATTGTCCATTGTGCCCCTTTCTCTTACAATAGCTTACTGTTGAAATTAAATTTTGTTCTCTTTTGTGTACAGATGAAGAAAGCAGAATGTGCATCAGAGTTGGATAAATCTTTGAAAATTTAAGTCTCAATTTTGGGGAAAAATCATTTCAGAGTATGGAATTTTGGAAAGTTCTTTATAATGCAGTGATGCTTGGTGTTTATAGCACTGTGAAATCAACTATGGTGGATTTTTGTTTTGTTTTGTTTGTGTGTTTGTTGCTAGTGGCTGGCACTAAAGTTCACCCTGCTGAAAGTATTGTTTGTAATTTGTAGTTTGTTTATTTTGGTCTCAGTAAATATTATCCAGTCTTATCCTAGTATAGTCTTGACTGGAAAAGTGATAAAATTATTCATCTATTAGTATTGCATAAGGTGTAATGTGTAGCCTTATAAACAGTGTGTCAATATATGGCTCAGCCTAAGTGCAATATTTATTGTCTATCAGTGCAGATATATTTCTTCTGTGAAGCTGTTCCTATGAAAAGGCAGATGCCTTCAAATGTCAGTGAAATTAATCATCCGCAGATAAATTGTTGGCTTACCTTCAGTGTCACTTTATCTCTTCGAAGTGGTCAAGAGTGCAAGCGGTTTCCAACCTTGGGCAAATGCAGTAGAAGTTGTAATCAGAAGGCTTTGCTTGATAAAAGGTCAAAGCTTGTGAAATGCCTTAAAACTTTTTATGCTGTATTAAACTAGTATGTTAGTCTAGCTCAAGTATCTCCTAAACTGAGTATTTTTGCTGTCAGTACAACTTTCCAAAGTTAATTTATACTATTTTTGCAATAATGTGTTTATCTGTGATGTCAGATTAGCATATGGCTGTGATCAAAGAAGGCTAATGCCAAAACCCTACCATTAAGAAACATTTGTAATCCTGAATTTGCATTTCTTCAAATTTTTGGATTAATTTTCTTAAATCTTTTCAGATAACAGAAGATTTTCTGGCAACATATCATGCTAACTATGGCTTCAATGCAGATGATACAGACAGTTCATCTGCTTCTGGCACAGCAGCTGAAAGTAAGCTACCAGCAGGTTCTAAGACATCAGGAACACAACCAGCAGCAAACGAGAAGGGACCACAACAAACTGATCCAAAACAAAAAGCAGAAAAAAGGAAGCTTGAAGCAGGTAGGAGCCTTCAGCTTGCTTTATATATCAGCTGCAAACTGAATAACACGAAGTGATAGCTGTTGGTTGATAACTGTTATGTACAGTAAAGATACTGCATGTTCTGTAAATTTTCCAAGTGATTTTGAAATCTTACAGGACTTCTTGGGTATCCTTTCCACCTCATTTATGAGTTGGAAAATAAGTGAACTAAGGAGTGCTCTGGGTTTTTCCTGTGGATAAAAAAAAAAAAGAAAATGGATGGAAGGTGAACCTCAGAAGTACATTAGTGTGTGATCTCATGTTTAATATATTAGCATAACTGGATTTAAAATTATTTCTTTTAGGATGGTTTCATGTTGAAGAAGACAGAAACACAAATGTTTATGTGACTGGTAAGTATTAGCATTTAATTACATATTTTTAGCTTTTATTATATATGTGAAAGAAACTCATATTTGCCATGCTCACTTCTAATATTCGCTATTCAGCCTGCATTTGCAGGCTGCTTAGCATTCTGTTAGTGTTGCATCATGTCTTTACAATTGCACGTATACAAAAGTGATACAGGAGACATATTCCACAGTCTTGTGTGATTTTAAAATAATATATTGTATAAGGTGTCAGCCAAGTCCACTGTTCTCCAATTTCTTAAATCAAGCCATAGCAAATGAAACTAAAAATTTCCCCAGAACTCCTTCCCAAGAAGGAATAGGACATAAGTTTATAGCAAGATGATGTGTTGAAGCTACCTGTCATTTAATATGTTTTCATCCTTTTTTTTTCTGATTTTATAAATAAATAACTGATAAGAATGAAGAAAGTATAAAATAAGCTGAGGTTATGATGAATAAGGGCGAGCTCAAATGAATCTGTGTGTTTATTATATTATTTCTCTGCCTGTTTTGGATGTCGGCGGTGCTAGCTTTAGTTGTGTAATTGAAAATAATAGTGGTGGTTGCTGAAAATCATGACCAATCTTTCTGCAGCTGTATTCAAAGGTACATTCTGTTGTCTGAGTGGTCACAAAAATGTACATGACAGAGGTCTCAAACATTTTTTCTTCCTCCATTTCTGGTTTTCCTTGTCCTCAATTCAAAGTTCAGACTTAAAAAAACTTTCATACATCTTCAGTAATAATTGCAATTTTGGCTGATTTGTGGGTAGAAGAGAAGTCTTGTGTTTATAGGGTGTTTCTGTCTCAAATCCTTAAAAAGGGGTGCAGTGAAACTTTTTATTTTGAGCAGGTTATCTATATTCACATGGATCATTGTATGCACTGCAACATTAGTGTCATCTGTGTCATTTAACATTAAAGCTCCAGGTCTGCATATTAGGTAGCACAAAAATGTCACCGTTGAAGTTGCAGTATAGAAAATTACACCTGTTGTACCTGTACTTCAGCTGAAGTAAAAAGGTTCTCTAAATACTGGCATAAGGTACTGTATAAAAGATAGTAGCAAAAACATTCATTGAGGAGTAGTGGTTTATTATTGCGTATGTAAAACTTCAAAATTAAGCTTGCTATCATTCATTTAGTGAAACACTTTGGGTTTCTTATGTTCTAGTGATACAGAAGAAAACCTGAACTATCTAAACATATTCAACACTTCAATTTTAACTTATTTTGTAGGTTTACCTCCAGACATTACAAAGGATGAATTTGTACAAGTCATGTCAAAATGTGGTATCATTATGCGAGATCCTCAGACAGAGGAACACAAAATCAAACTATATAAAGATAAGGAAGGAAATCTTAAAGGAGATGGCCTCTGTTGCTATCTAAAGGTCAGTGGTGCACTGAAACACACTGTTGCTTTCTGGTGAGGATATTTGTGGCCGCTGTCTCAGAATGACATGGGGAAGAATCCTAAAGTACCTAAATACATCTAAATTCTCAGTTGTATTAAAGATACCAGGGGGGAAAAAAAAAAAAAAAGGAACAGTACCTGTTTGTGTACTTCATTTGCATCCCCTTATCTAGACCCCACTGAGAACAGCCTTAGTAGGTGCTGGACGTGTTGCAAAGTGTTCCTGTCTTTCAGTGCCAGTGCATGTTCTGCTGAAGGACATCTGGGTTTCCAGCCTAGCTGTGCTGTGTCTGGCTGTAGATGTGCCCAAGGGGCAGCTCTCAGACAGTGGTAATAGGTTCATTGATTATAGCTATAGCCATTTTTGTTCAGAGCTGATAATACCTTTTGCATGGTGGTTTAGCGGTCCATTTTCTGAAGATTTGGCTTGTGGGTTCTGTGCTTGACCCAGGTTGAATCATAGCTCCTGCAGCCAGTGGGTGTGTTAACACTTGGGTTTCCTGATGTTACGGAGGTTGGATTGGGAATGTCTTCACTGTTTATTCTGAAAACGTAGCCCTGTGTGGCTAGAAACACAGGACTAACGAGATGGAAAGGAACTTACTGTAACCCTGTAGTTAGGGCGCGTTGTTGAGATGAATAATGTTTAACTTGGACCAAAATCCAGAACAGTTTTGCATACTGATCTGTAACAGTTTAGGTTGTGCTAATGTATCCTACGTGCACTTCACCTGCTGGTCACTAGAAAACTCAGTGTGTGCTAGTGCAGTCTATACAACTCTGCAAGAAGTACCAGGTAGTACTAAGCAACTGCCTTTATAAGGTTAGCAGTTAAAGCTGTTTAGCATACAGAGATGAACATAGTTTCCAGTCTAACAAACTACTAGGAGAATAAAAAACAACAAACAAAGACTTAAAATCCTAAGTATCTGCTGCTCTAGGAAGTGATAAAAGCTTTACAGAAAACTAGCACTCTATAATTTTATTTTTCTCCCTTTTAAGTTATCAGCTTGGTTGAACATGGAGGATTAGTTTTTATGAAATATTTGGGTGAAATGTGAGCTATTGCTTTTGGGAACGTTAATGTGCTGTGACAATAGGGAAGCAATAGTGGGTTTTATTTTGGCTTAATAAGCATTGTGAGCTCAATGTGTAATTTTTTGATTGTTTTCAGTGTTGAGGAACTGATTCTTATCACGATATTCTTAGTTAAACTTTACTAGAATAATTTGACTGTTCTGTGTGCTTCAAAGCTTGTGCTCTGTTTTATCTTCAAATAGAGAGAATCCGTTCAACTTGCACTGAGACTTCTGGATGAGGCAGAAATTAGAGGCTATAAATTGCATGTTGAAGTTGCAAAGTTTCAGCTGAAGGGGGAGTATGATGCAAGCAAGAAGAAGAAGAAATGTAAAGACTACAAGAAGAAGTTGTCCCAGCAGCAGAAGTTTGTATTTTTTTTTTTCAATAACATGTTGTTAAGTGTTGTCAAGAAAATACTATTTCCGCTCAGATGCAGTGCTAAGAGTTATGGAACACTGTCATCACTTACCAAAATGAAATAGCTTAAAATATTGAAAGAAGAACTCGTAAATTAAATGCGGATTAAAACCATAGGAACCGTAGGAACAAATATTAAAACATTCTTGCAGGTTCCTCCAGACTACTGCATTTGGTGTAAGATACATGGTTATTTTTTGATTGTATATAGATGCATTATTTTTATCTTTAATTTTCTTTCTGCGTTTTGGAACCAAAAAGAAGAAGAAAGTGTGAGAATGTAAGAATGTAGATTAATGAAAGCAGTAGTCTGCTAAACTTTTTAAATAAAACTGTGAATGTATTTTGTAATAGTTAAAGGGAACGAGTTTCACTGGACATCATATCAATTAAAAGTAATTTAAAATGTATCTGCCTCAGAGATTTCCAATTCTTGTTTTAAGAAATCTCCAATGGAGAGAGATATATAGTATGAAATAATGAAGTTGCATTTGACAGCCATTTGTGTGAATAAATAAACTGTGGTTTTGTTTTAGTCCCTTAACTATTTGAATCTAATCTTATGTAAATTGAATTCAGTTGATGTTCCTTTTGAGTTGGAGAACATAATTTACTTGCAAAACAACCTTCACTGGAAATCCAAGTTATCTTCAGCTGAAGTAGCAGATACAAGAAGGAAATTAAACAGGATCTCTTTTTTCCTAAAGATAAGATTTTGAGATTTAGAAGTGTAAGGTAAACTGTGTCCGTGGCAGTAGGATATGAAATAGGTGTTTTTTAGAAGACTAAGGTTTATCATGAGAAAGCAAAGTCGTACAATATATGTCCTGAAATACATTGCTAGTTTGTGTGGCTAGCCAGCTTGCAGTGCTTTCTGGTAAGCCTGCAAGTGTTCTTGCATATTTGTTTAAATGCAATCAGTAAAATTTTACCAAAAGAAATAATGGATCTCAGTTTTTATGTAATGGTTCTTCATTTATAAAGGATGCTGAAACACTGATAATTTTATTATACTTGGCAGCAGCTAGTCTCATGCCTGAACTGATATTAGTGAGGAATTAAAACCTGAGTATTGAAGAAGTTGCTTTGGTGTTTAAAATGCTCACGAAGAATTCTGAATTCAAGTATCCTAAAACTCAAGCTGCTTTGTAAAAGGAGAATTGGTAAAATCAGACTTCCTATCATGCTTTTAGAAAAGTAGTTTAACTTGTTGCATCAAAGTACTTGTTTTGGTAAATGTATTATAAGACAAGATGTATACAAGACATATATTACAAGACCAAATTAATGATTTTCTTTCAACAAATGCTTGTAGAAACTGAAGAGAGCCGCAACAATATCTTCTTACTGTTGCTTCATTTCATTAGACAGCTGGATTGGAGGCCTGAGAAGAAAGATGGTGTAAATCGAATGCGACATGAACGCATCGTTATCATCAGGAATATGTTTCACCCAAAGGACTTTGAGGTGAGGGAGATGTATTTTCTTGATATTAATGATACTGTTACAAGTAATACTGTTTCAACATCCTACCATAAGGAATTTGGCAAAACTGAGCAGAAGAGAATGAACATTAAACTTTCTTTTTAGTTTTTTTTTTTTTTTTCCCTCTAATACCAAATGCTTAAAACCTAACTGAGAGAAAAATGTTGGCAACAATGTATTTTTTTTTTCAAGTATTTTCATCAAGTGTCCCCAGACATTATTCCTTTTAGGGAAGGGAAGGGAAGAAGAGTAGACAGTAACTATGTTGAAATGGAGAAGCCAGTACATAGCTGGTTTGCTAATAAGCTTTCCTCATTAACTCAATAAGGGCTGTCATCTCCAAATAGTTTTGGAAATATACAGTAACATATTTTAATTTATAAATTTATATTTTTTAAAAAAAAGGCATAGACATTCCAGTTAGTGAAATGAATGTCCAAGAGAAAATAAAGCTGATATTTCTTTATTTTTTTGATCTGTGCAATTGCCTTGCAGGAGGATCCTTTAGTGCTAAATGAGATCAGAGAAGATCTACGGACAGAGTGTGAAAAGTTTGGACAAGTAAAGAAGGTTCTCATATTTGATGTACGTATTTTTTACAAGTTATGTTGCATAATTGTTATATGTAAGAACACAGAATAGTGTTAAGTTTCTTTAAAGAGAGCCATTGCAAACTTGACTTTTTTTTAGTAAAGTTAGATATTTTGGAAATGAATTTATAAGCATTCATCTACTTTAACCTCTGCAAAGGTAAAATCTGATTCTTCTCAGTAACTTTGCACAGGACATAAGTGCTTTATAAAGAAATACAACTATTTTTATTTAGCTAAACTAGTTAAACACTTGGGTCTTTTCCTCCAAATCTGCTCTGTGTACCAAAAATTTAAGGTAATTTTAGCCAGTAGAACAAAACATGAAAACTTGTAACTTGTGCTTTTTAAACGAGATTGTGTATGTTCAACATGAGGCTATATCCTTGTCTTTTGCAAGGCAAAAGATGCTGGAATAAAAGGACTATTCAGAAAACTCAAAGCTGTCTCTCCTTACAGCGACACCCTGATGGGGTGGCCTCTGTGTCATTCAAAGAAGCGACAGAAGCCGATCTCTGCAAGCTCACCCTGAATGGAAGGTGGTTTGGAGGCCGTCAGCTCAGCGCCGAGACGTGGGACGGTGTGACAGATTATCAGGTAGCTTTTTGTGGTTCTGCTTGATCAAACTGCAAGTTTGCGTGCGTGTCTTGTTATTTTTCCTCCCTGTCTTGTTCATCTGCAAAAATGGCAAGAACCCCTCCAAAAGATGATTCTTAGTTGCTCATTTTATCAGAAAATTTTAAAAACCTGTTTCACTTGAAAAAGCATTAGAAATGTAAACTTAATAGAGGATTAATTCCAGAACAAAGGGATTGTTAGTTCACAGGAAACAGGTCCTATTGAAATGTTGAGGTATTGTGGCAGCATAACTATCATATAAGTTTATCTATGTAAATGTATCTACTTTTAGCTGCATTTTTAATGATTTTTATAAACATTTTCAATAGGTGGAGGAGACTGCAAGAGAAAGGGAAGAAAGGCTCAAGGTGTGGGGATCATTTTTAGAGGATCCTGATGCAAAGGAGGAGAAAGCGACATCTGATTCAGATTCTGCAACAAGCAGTGTTAAACTGCCTGAAGGCAGACAACCTTCCAAAGTTAATGACACACCTAAAGAGGATGTAAAGGATGAAGCCCGTAAGGGGGAGAATAACGGGGAGGGCATTAATGAAGATGGTGCTCCTTCCACAGACAGCAGTCTTGCAGGCAGTGAGGATGAAGCAGATACATAACACCTTCAAAGCTTTATGAAAGCATGATTTTTGGAGTGATGTTTGAGTTTATTCCTTGTTTCATGGTGACTACAGACAATGTTCATATGAATATATGCATATTAGGATGTCATCTGCTGTGTGCTTTGGAATTTTCATTAAAAGCAGTATTTAATGAGGCTCTAAAAGTTTATAATTAATTGGCTGTTCAGGTAAAGTAATTCAAGTTGCCAAGAATGCATCAAACTGATGAGGCTTCTTTTGTTCTATCTCTGCTTGTCAGTGTTTCATTATGTAAGTGTGAAATATGTTCAAACACTTAGGTTTATGTAACTGTATGAAGCTTTAGTAATGCAAAGCTATTACAAGATTTGTGGATTTTACTGTTAATTTTCCCTGTACCCTTCGGAATTTGGTGTCTCCTTCTTAAAAGCTACTGTTGTCCTGAGCTCTTTGGATTGTAGTTTTACAGAACAAATCTTGTGATAAGTATAGGGTGAATGTCTGGAAATGTTGTTACACCTTACAGAGCAAATAATGGAGTCGTACAAAGTTGCACACTTCAGAGATGTGGAAAATGAACAAGGTTGCCACAGCTGACATTAAGCAAACTTAGTGAAGAAAGATGCTTAAATCACACCATTGAGTATATAAGTCTCTCTTCATTCTGCTTAGATCTTTTGTTAATGCAACGAGGAATTATGACAAGGAGATTAGAAATACATGCACGTGTTCTAGGCCGTAATGTAAATAAGACATCCTAAATTCTCATGGTTTTGCATGCTGTAGGCATGCAGAATGGGCTTCTGAGTTATGGCTTGATTTGTGTTGTTTCTGCCTTAACATTAGAGTAAGAGTTTTCATTTATCTTCGTTAGGATGGTGAGTATGAGTTCCCTTAAATACAGCTGTTTGGTTTGCCTTACATGCTTTTCACACATGAGACTTCTTATAAAATTAAAGATTTTTGACAACTTGATCTCCAATTCGTTGTGTAAATGTCAAAATACTGGAGAACAGGCTTTCAAAGGATATTACTTTTTTATGGAAAAGGTAAATGCTGGACATAAAATGTTAGCCCCGTTCTTAGAAATACCTTAATAAGTAGCAGGCTTTCAGAAATAACTATGGGGGAGCTGTTTTGGGCAGGGAGTTCTTTATTTAGAACCAATTATTTTGATTTTTAAGGATATAAAAGATAAATCGGTAGATTTAGGCACTGAGCATTTAAAATACTAGTGCTAATTCCATAGCACATTGTTCATATGGATGGCTATTAGAGCACATTTTTAACTAGATTTTTTTTTTAATTCAGATTGGATTGCAAGAAATCGTAGATGCTAATACTTACCTTTATTTCCATCCTGAAGTATTCAGAATACTCTGAAAATTATTACTTTTTTTTTTTAAACTCCCTCTCTGGCTGTTAATATCTGTATTGTTCCGGAAGTCTTTAGCGTAGATAATTTCTATTACAAATAATTGAGAGATATGGGTAGGTTATGGCAACAAAATCACCTGTTAGTACTTGCATTATGATTACAAATGATACCTGATCATGACAGAATATCTGGTCTTACAACAAAGAAGAGGCTGAATTCAGGTTTTAAAAGTTTAATGTAAACTGGTGTGACAGATTTTTAGTTTTAATCAACTGTATATTAAAGGAGAGCTATAGCTTTTGCCATATAAAAAAGACCATTTTCTCATCTTTACAAGTGTGTGAATTGTACATTTGGGCAAAAAAAAAGTTGGAACGCTTCAGGGAGTCTGCAGTACTGGCTGGTTTGTAGCTGCACATGGTGGCATGTTCAGATGACGTCTGTGGATTACACTGGTTCTACCTGAAATACTCCTGTTGGTATTAAGAACCACAAATCTTTGAGGGCTTAAAGTTTTAGCGTATTAAGTGTGTAATTTGGTGTGGTGGATACTGCTTTCAGTGCTCCTTTTTTCTTCCAGCTTCTAACCTCCACGTTTTAATCTGTTCCTGTTGTGCTTTATAGGGTTTTTCTATTTTGAGAGCGTAATCGTATCTAACACTAGGCAGTTGTCACCCGTTTTACAGTGAATTTGCAACTGATATAAGAAAATTGACAAAAGTATAAATATTGTACAGTTCTGTAAAGCCTTATCATGGTATCAGATAATTAAGGTTAATATTAGTGTTTAAAAAAAAAAAGTTTGGAAAAAGAAATCTGTCTATGTGCAGTAACCTTCCTCTGTCCCGCGGATGTGCAGATTGGGCTGGATTCCCGACTCCAACGTGCTCTTGGCCTCTCCCTTCCCCCTAGACTTTACACTGAGGCAAACCAGCAGAATTTGAGACCAAATACTTTATTGGCGTTCCTCCTAACAACATTCTTAAGAAAATAAAAACTGTTTTCCACCAATATATGTTGTTCTGAAATGCGACATTGCCCTTAAACTGGTATTTTCCTTTTGTCTACCTCTTTTATTCTCCTAGTAAGATTTAAAAATATATTTTTATAAACTATCCATTGAGGTATTGAAGCATTTAATAGTTTGTGAAGAAGTTAATGCAGTTGTGACTTTGTTTTCAGTAGTTTTTCATGGAGGTTGACTTCTTTTTATTGAGACTGCTTTCCTTTTTAAATGTTACAAATTTTTATAAATTGGTCCGAACATAAATTGCGATTTCTCATAGAAACTTTTATTTTGAATTGTAAAAAAGTTCTAGGTGTGCAGAGCAGTAGTGCTTAATATCAAACTAATCTTGACTTGACTTCCCTTCTAAACTTGTGTTCTTTTTCTCTGGCTGACTATCACGGTAAACAGATCAGTAAGACTTTAAAATGCCAATTTGGTTTTGACTATTCTTGTTCTTAAATGCTTTCTAATGGCTTCACTTAAAGACGTAATCTCTCTTGAGACTGCAGGACTGGCTCTGTATTCTGCCTTGCTCACTAGAAGTGGCAAAATCAAACCTTTGCTTAGTTCCTAACTTTCCCTGCATTTCAGTCCAGTTTGCTGTGTTTGTCCTTACCCCTTCTGATGTTTTTCCTTTTTCCTCCTACATTTTGGTAGGAGGGACTCACCTAAAGGTTGTTTCCTGCTCCCAGTATCTTCCATAAACCCCATCCCGCTGCAAGCTGAAGGACGTTGTGGACAATCATTGTAGGCCAGTTTCAAACTAGAGAAGTTGCTATTTCTGCTCATTGTCACAGTGAAAAATGGATATAAAGCCACTTAAATGTAGCAGCAGGAAAAAGAACAGAACAATAATTGCAAAGAATATCGTCTAATTGGTACTTCTGTGTAATTCAGTACAACGTATGACTTTTTTAACCAGTCAGTGCAAAGTCAGTTGCTTAGCTTGAAACTAAAGTAAAAACTCATAGTTTGCTCTACAGTCCAAGTGATTTTCTGACAAGGTGACTATGGAGTTAAAAGCATTCATCCGGCATTAGATGCTTTGAGGTGCATGGCTAAGGTTAGATATCGGGGATAAAAAAAGCCCCAAAAGAACAGATGTTTATGTTGCATCAGGTTCCAGAATGTTCATGTAACAGCTGTAAAGAGAGAATTTAGTTTCATTTTGCATCAAAATGTTTATCTTTCTCCTGCTGACTCTTTTTAATTAATTTAACTGAATTTCAGTCTCTCGTGCAACTTTCACCATGTATAAGGATTGCAATTCACTTAAACCGTTAGTATGTTAAATGCAGTGCATTTTAGCTAAAACATGTCCTAGACATTATTCAGTTAAGGCTAATCTGTTTACAATGTCAAGTGTTTAGTTTAATTTACTTGAGAAAACTTAAAAGGTATTGGATGCTTCATAGAAACTCAAACTTGCCTTTGAATTTTCTAACAAAATCAGTATCTACACTTTGAATTCCTGAACTGTAACTGAATTGAGACACACATACCTGTAGATTTTAATTGGGTTTTAAATTTTTATTTCTGAATTTGAGGAAACATACTGCAGTATGATAAATGAATTATGTAAGTTGTGTACTTGTGTTGATTTGTGTGTATTTTAGTGCTCATTATACAGGGCTTGAAGTCTTACTGTGAAGAAACTCTGAAAGTTCTGTAAAATATTTATAGAAGTATGAAATCTTTTGCAGCAAATTGTTTTTTGCTCATTATGTAATATCAAAGTATATTGTTAGATTAAACTTTTCAGTAAGTTGACTTGGAATTTTTCTGACAGGTTATTTTCTTCTGAGGCGTTAAATCACTTGTTTTCATTTCTCATATTTTAGGAAAGAAACACTTGGCAAAATCATAGTTGAATAATAATTTATAGCCCTATGACAGCATCTGCGAGTCTCTTGATTTGTCCTGAATTTTGTTTCTTAAAGGGGTTGTGTTTTATACTACCTTTTTAATAAACAAACTCGTGAATAGAGCGTCTTCCTGCTTAGTTGTGAGGGGGACGCGTTCCCGCCTCCGTGCAGCGCGGCAGCGCGCGCCGTGCGGAGCCCGCGTTCCCGCGCGCAGAACCCCGCGTTCCCGCATTCCCGTGCGCAGCCCCGCGTTCCCGCCCCGCGTTCCCGCGCAGAACCCCGCGTTCCCGCGCAGGGCCGGTGCCGGGTGGCGCCGCTGTGGCCGCTGCGCGGGGCCTGTCCCGGTCCCGGTGCCGGTGCCTGTCCCGGGGCCGTTCCCGTTC